CATCTTCAGCATGCACAAGGACCTGGGTTCAATCATATATGCAAATAGTTTAGAATTAAGATGATTCATTCTATGTAACTACAGGGCTGCTGAGTAACTTTTCTATAAGCCAATGAATGTCCTTACGTATAAAAATCTAAAGCTCCAGTGAGGCTTAGAATGTGGATTCAACTTCTGTACTAACCATTTGATTCCAGTTTCAGGCTCACAAACTATATTGCTAGTTATGCATAATTCAGCTGAAACAAACAATCGTGGCCAACCTGGTAACAGATTTATAGTCGTTCAACTTACACAACAATTCTAATACCCAAATCTTTTAGTCTCTCTCAAAACACTCCTGCTTGCTTTGAAAACTCTTTATTCCATTGTTCTTACCATTTTCTCAGGCAGTTCTGCAAATCCTCTTGTGTACGTGTCTTTAGTTGCACTGTCATGGCTACCTTAATGTCCTGAATTGACTCAAAACATTTACCTTTCACAATCATTTTGATTTGGGGAAGGGCCAGAAGTCACATAATGCCAGATCCAGTTAGTAAGATGGATGAGGACACACCATGACACTTAACAAGCCTGTCTTCCCAATGAACAGCACTTGGCAACAACAATCACATTCCCTAAAGACACTCACAAGAGAGGACTTTCAGAACTGCTTCATAAAGTGGCAAGAATGATGGGATAAACGTGTTCAAAGTGAGGGGGAGTATTTCAAGGGGAGTTATGGCAACGTGTCTTTTACTATTAATTGTTTTTAGACATTCACCACATTTTTCTGATCATCTCTTGCACGCAATGTAATTTTACTCAGCCATAAAGGAGAATGAATTCACATCACGTGTAGAAAAATAGATGGCTCATGAGACCATAACATTTAGTGAAGTAAGTCATACACAGAAGGTTAAATATTGCATGGTTTCTGTAATATGAAAAATCCAAAATATAAATAAATTAAAGAATAAAATAAAGGAGAAGTGGCAGGAAAGCAGAACGCAGACTTTGGAGATGGGGAAGGAGATGAGGGAAAGAAAGAAGGGAAGAGAGAAGGTAAAACAAGGAAAGG